ATATATATATATATATATATATATATATATTCATAACTGGTGAAACATTAATTCTACAATTGCATTTCCTTTTAAAATACCGTCAGTCATTTGAGGGATTTCTTTTTCATACATTGGTTATACAGACTTTCAAGATAGACGCACGAATATCAAGTAAGATATTTTAAAGTCACATGTCACTTACCGCTTTTCACAAAAAATTAATTTAGAAAATAAAATATTGTTTAAAGAATCAAGCACAATGGACACGAATCATTCTATTGTTATATACTTTAAATCTTAATATAGCCACTGGCGTATCTCGTAAAAAAAAACAACTTTCGTAAATCTCTCACCCTGCATCATCTGCTTGTGTTTAAAAAATCAAGCTGAATGCGTTTCAAAATAGAATTTTTTCTAGCAAAGTAAAGTCCATATATGTTTTTATATATATATATAGATAGATAATGCTTTTCCGGAAGTAAACAACAGTAGATTTCACGTGACGTTCACCCGTTGTAACTCCAGGGTGTAAAGCCATTTAAATTTTACGAGCAACATCAAGATATAGCACTCTCTTTAATGTACCAATCATATTCAATTCTGAAAGGTGTAATGAATTCTTCTAATCTCACCATACTGATGTGAGGTGTATTTTTTTTTATGAACCAGGCTAATAAATAATACGAGTTCTGTCGTAGATCCCATAAACTTAGCATTATAAACCATAATGTATGAAGATTAGATGCCTGACTCCTATAGAAAAATAACACACTTTGATGATATTTTTTCCTTTTGGAAAACTCATATTATAAAATATTTTTCGAATATCTTTAAAATTTGCTGTAATTATACTTTCTTTTTACAATACACCTAAAAGCAAATTATTTTTACTGCCACTTTATTTTTTAAACAAGAGGGAATTCTCAATAGCCGTGGCACTTGAAATTCTTTAAGGCAGGGTTAGAGTAAATTAATCTATGAGACTTTTTATCCCCTTTTTATTAACTATATTTTTATGAGCCAGCAATACCAAGCGTGGGGCGCGCGTATACCCGATTCAATTTTATTGCTCATCAGGATCTAAAATTCTGGGTTCGATTCCATGCGGTAGACAGTGCAGAGAGCCCATTGTGTAGTTGTATTAATTTCATAAATTGTCAGGTGATTATAGATATTGAAAACATGTTGGTATTTTCAGTATGAATGACTTTTGGGTTAAAAAGGTCTGGTTAGAGACCGTAAGGTTTAGGCATAACTCTCCCTAACCTTCAGTATCACCAACTGCTTACATGACGCCCCTACCCCACCCCAGTGGCACAGCGGTATGTCTGCGGACTTACAACGCTAAAAACCGGGTTTCAATACCCGTGGTGGGCAGAGGACAGATAGCCCATTGTGTAGGTTTGTACTTAACTTCAAACAACAACAACAGCTTACACGACCACCATTAACCGAACATCGAGACTGATTGTCACTGTTAGAGCGTGCTCATAACTGAAAGAGCGGTATGTTCAACAGGTTGTCGCTTCTCGAAGTACATTGGACCTAACGATCCGCAACCCGAGATGATAACCACTAGACCACGTCCGTCTCTTGGCAAACGCGGACTCTACGTTGATTGAAAATGTATAAAAAGCCTGCTTAAAAAAAAAAAAGTTTATTATTCCTACTTACACAGAATTTGTTTGTTTGTTTATAGTTAAGCACAAAACACAATGGGCTATCTGTGCTCTGCCCACTACGAGTGTCGAAACGCCGTTTCTAGCGTTGTAAGTCCGCAGACATACAGCTGTGCCACTGATGGGCTACAGAATTCACTTTCTGTGTTACTATTAATTAAATAGCCTATTATCAGGTGGATCAGCGGTAACTTTGTGGACTTATAACGCTAAAATTAAGGGTTCGATTCTCTGTGATGGACAAACAAGTATAAAGCACAGACAGAGTCTTTGAATCAACCATAATCTAATATCATACGTACAAGTTTGACTAAAACACAAAAATGGCACAAATCTAATCCAAGACATTTTCCACTGGTAGTCTGTTTTTTATGTACTTCAAAAAAGGCAGATATTTTTCTAAGATTCAATACACATTTACATTCATATGCGTTTGACAAATTAACTACGACATCAGACTTAACCTCAATTAGGCCACCCAAATCATCACATGTCAGAATATTTAAGATATCTGATTTAGACCATATGAAGCGAAACATATCAAAATATGTAAAGTTTCTGATTTAGCCCACTAGAAATTTGGTTTGTCAAAATAACTAAGACATCAAATTTAGATCACTAAAATCATGACATGTCAAAATATTTAAAATGTCTGATTTAGACCACCAGAATCAACACATGTCAAAATGTTTAAACTTTATTTTTTGGGGCACCAGAATCAATACTTGCCAAAATATTTAAAGTGTCTGATTTAGACCACCAGAATCAACACATGTCAAAATGTTTAAACTTTGTTTTTTGGGGCACCAGAATCAATACTTGCCAAGATATTTAAAATACATGCTTTAGGCCAACAGGATCAATACACGTCAAAATAATAAAAAATATGTGTTTTAGACCATCAGAATCAACACATATCATTATATTCAAACTATGTTATTTAGGCCACTAGAATCAATACATGCCAAAATATTTATAATATATATATATTTTAGGCCAGTAGAATTAACAAAAGCAAAATAATTGAAATCACCAGAATCAACGTATTTCAAAATATAAAATTTCTTATTTAGATCAGTACAATCGTTACACGTTGAAATATATACCTGAAATAATTCTAATAAATTTATGTACTTTCAAATGAGAAAATCTTGTAACCGAAATCGTCAGAGGTCTAATCTGATAAATTAATGAAACATTTTGCGCAAAGCTATTCAATGGCTATCTGCACTAACCGTCCATAATTTAGCAGTAATAGATTAGAGGGAGGGAAGCTAGTCAACACCACCCACCGCCAACTCTTGGGACGTTATTTTACCAACAAAAAGTAGATATTGACCGTCACGTAATAACGCCCCCACGGCTGAAAGGACGAGCATGTTCTGTGAGAGGGATTTGAGTCCCCCATTAAAATGGAGTAATTTGATAAATATAATCATCCATTAAAAATACATTTGCATAGCATTAAAAATATTTAAGTTGTTAAAAATGCATCACTTTGTTTTGTCTGCAGTTAAGCGCAAAGCTACACACACAATGGGCTATCTGTGCTCTGACCACCACACGTATCGAAACCCGGTTTCTAGCGTTGTAAGCGCCACTGGGGGGGGGGGGAATGCGTTACGTGTGCTATGGAAAGCGTTTACTTATTACAAGCCCCCACGATGTCTCAGCGGTAAGTTTGAGAGTTTATAGCGCTTAAAATCGGGTTTTGATACCCGCTGTGGGCGGAGCAAAGGTAGTCCATTGATTGTGTAGCTTTGCGCTTAACTACAGACAATTGCTTAACAATAAACAAACAAAAAATATTCATTTTAAGAATTGTTCGTATTATGCTATGCCAAGGACGTTTCCTTGTGAAAATTATATTCGTCTTTTTCATTAAATTTGTTCCGATTTCCTGTTATGAGGGAGATTATGCTCATAAAGAGTTATTATCGGTTCATAATGACGGAACAATTCCTCGGGATGATATAGTCATAACAACAAATAAAAAAAAAATTAGGTCATAAGAAAATTCAGAAAACCATTATTCATGTTTGATTTCCTGTAACAAAAAAAAAAACTTTTCATTATGGTAATGTATATACGCAAAGAGGCGATATCCTGTTGATGAAATATTGAAGTTTGTGTACAAAAGTCGGTTTGGGAAAATTTATTTCACCCGATAATCTTTGTATGTTATATCTATATATAGAAGAAAACATGTACTGGATAACGTATGTATTTATAAATGTTCTAATTTGTTAATTAATATTTTAGAGGAATTTATAAAATCTGCCACACTATGAGTTTACGAAAATCATTTCTTCCTGTTCAAGTTTTCATCTTTTATCTTTTCAAACAGGCTGACAAATGTAAAAAACTTACAAAAACAAAGATATTCACAATACTTGCGTTACTCACAGTACTTAAATAACCTTCTCTGGCATTGATTTTTTTTTTCAGGTTTAAGTCTGTTGCGTTGCCTTACGATTTTTCTACAATTTGTAATGAAAGATAATGTAAGAAAATAATCTAAAACTCACATGAAACATAGAGAACGAAAATAACCTATAGTTACCTATTTAGATTACAAATGGTTAATGAAGGAAAAGGTAGTGTCCAGTTATTTTCGACGTCCAGAGTAACCACTACCGGGTAAGTGTAGTACACTTTTAGAAACTGATAACTCTCATAGATGCAACCGAAAAGCCCCAGCACCAGCACCAGAACCCAGACACATTGTCTGAGAACACTCGAGGTGCTTGCAATGTGAGACACTCCATTTACGTTGGAACGTTCGAGAAGACCTTTGAAAAATTCTTTAAGCGGGACGTTCGGTTCTTCCTTACCCATGGCAGGTCTTGCAAGCTGGTCTGACTGAGGCTGTACTGGAACTACAGCTCTGGGTTTGCTGTTCTGAATCATAGAGCTTCGAAATAACGCTGCGTGCACTAGAGACTCCGAGTTTCTATTACCGTGTTTTACTGTTACGTCAACTTCTCTGGTGTCTACGTCTATCAGTTTCCATTTTATAATACTTTACTTCACGTTCCTTTTTTTGTTTGTTGTTAATATTTACGGACACACTATATTTGTATGTTTTGAATCCATTTGAATTGTAAATATTTTTAAGAACAAAAAAAAAGATAGCTGATAAATTGAGAAGAAATATTAAGACAATTATCATAGGTAATGATGTCAGTGACGTAGATGTACCAAGAGGAAAACAAGAGTTGTCTTTTCGCATTGAAGGTTGCTATGAGTCTAACGCGGGGAATCGACCCCCCCCCCCCGATTTGAGCTTTATAAGCCCAAAGTTTACTTCTGAGCTAGCGGAGGTTTCAGATCGAAGGAAAATAAATGTAATTTAATAGATGTCTTATATGAATGTGGAAGTAAAACAAATAATTGAAAAAAAACAACAATCTAATCGAACTCGTATTGTATTACTGGTGTCTTTTCAGTCGTCCTCCCCTCCCCTCCCCCCTCCCCCCAGTGGCTCAGCTGTAAGTCTGCTGGCTTACGACACTAAAAACTTGGTTACGGTTTGTTTGTTTTGAATTTCGCGCAAATCTACACGAGGGCTATTTGCGCTAACCCCTAATTTAAGAGTGAAAACTAGAGGAAAGGCAGCTAGTCATCACCATCCACCGCCAACTCTTGGGCTACACTTTTACCAACGAATAGTGGGACTGACCGTCAAATTATATAGCTCTCACGGCTGAAAGGGCGAGCATATTTGGTGGGATGGGTATTCGAACCCGCGCCCCTCAGATTGCTAATCAAGCGCCCTAACCACTTGACCATGCCGAACTATCGGGTTTCGATACCCATGATGAGCCGATTTGGTAGCTTTACACTTAACAACAACCAAACCTTTTCAATTAGGGAATATACTCGCAATTTACTAGTTGCGGGTTCGAAACCTGTCACCGAATATGTTCGTCTTTCAGCCGTGAAGGCGTTATAATATCACGGTCAATCCCACTATTCGTTGGTAAAGAGTACTCCCAGTTATTGTGGTTGTTGTTATTTGTAATTAAGCACAAAGCTACACAATGGGCTATCTGTTGTACATACCGCCCTTTCAGTTATGAGCACGTTATAACAGTGGCAATCAGTCTCGCTGTTCGGTTAACGGTGGTCGTGTAAACTGTTGTTGTTGTTTGAAGTTAAGCACAAAGCTACACAATGGGCTATTTGTCCTCTGCCCACCACGGGTATCGAACCCCAGATTCTAGCGTTGTAAGTCCGCAAACATACCGCTGTGCCACTGGGGGTAGTACTCCCAGAGTTGGCGATTGGTGGTGTTGACTCTGCTTTCCCTGTAGTCGATCATTTAAAAATGAAGGACGGCTAACGCAGATATCTCTCTAGTAGCTTTGCACGAACGTTGAACAAACTCATTTCAGTCAAGAGTAAGAAATTTGGTGGACATCACCAATCTATACTGTTTTTCACAAGAAAACTCACACACATACATATATATATAATAAATATGTTTATGTATAATATATATATAATTAAAATATTTTCAAAACGAACTGTAATATTTAAGTAAAAAGAACAGAAATGTATTTTTATATCAGACACTGCCAATTTATGAACAATTAAAAACTTTGAGACTTAGCAAATTTCTAATATTTGGAATCTTGTTTCGATTCTAAAGCAATGTAATGCACATTTACAGTAAAATTTCAAAATATATTTTGAATGGTTTAAACCAACTTATATAGTGATGGAAATATTTTTTAGCCAATTAAATGAGAAAAAAAGAAATGCTGTAACTGTTGGATTATTGATGTAAAGCAAAGAACTTTGTATTTAGGAAAATGATAGTAATTAGTATATTATGTATAAAGATTCGCACAAAACAACACCTACATCTTGCACACCTTGTTTTTAATGACTATTTCATGTCCATGCCTATTTTAAAGTGAATCCCTGCAGCCAATTTCATGTGTTCCTTTATCCTTCATCTGGCAGTCGCAATACGAAAATTTCGGTAATATAAGTTTAGGTATTTATTTTGAACGATCTCATGTAAAAACATGTCAGTTTTCTTGGAAATCCGTCATTTCAGTTCTGAGAACTCCCAAAACTCCTTTTGACCCCCTTCTTATGGTGCTCGTACTTGAAAGTTTCCAGATTTAAAATGACAATATTGTTTTGAACGGTACATTAAATGTTAATACCATTTTGCAAGTAAATTGGTTTGGTCAAACATGAAAACTCCTAACAAAGATATTTGTCTTCCCATTTTTGGTATCCCCCCTCACAACGCTCTTCGAATTATATTATGGGTGTCAAGAGCCTGGATGCAAAAGTTCACGTCCTTTTGTACAAGCCCCCAGTGGCACAGCGGTATGTCTGCGGACTTACAACGCTAGAAACCGAGTTTCGATATCCGTGATGGGCAGAGCACAGATAGCCCATTGTGTAGCTTTGTGCTTAACTTCAAACAAACAAAAAAAAACCTTTTGTACAAAAATATGGAAGGAATTAAAAAATAAGTAAACATAGATAAGTCGAGGATTATTATATCTGTATTTAAAATTTTTGGTAAAGCTACTAAAACTATCGTCTTCGTCCCTAAGTTTAATGTAGTTCGAACGCGGTTCGACATCTTTGATATCTAAGAGCTCTACCACATGGACAGCCCTTGCCCGATAAAAATATAAACAAATCTATTATAGTTAGAAAATGTTGTTTCAAAAATTAAAAATATTACTGAAAGTTAATCTAGTATAATGCTGAAACATGTCAATAATATTAAAGTTTCTGATGTGGTGAGTTTTATCAAAGGATTTTTTGGCATCATACTGATCCCATAAAACTATCTTGATAACTACCTTCTAGCACTTACCTGACAAGCGACGCTCAAAACCATTGTGTGTGGAAGGTATTCGGGCATCTTTTTGACACTATTTAGCCCTAGCTACCTATGAGAAGCTCTAATAAAGTAAAATACATAGCTGGATTTGGGACTATTGGTCAGTTAACATACATAGCTGGATTTGGGACTATTGGTCAGTTAACATACATAGCTGGATTTGGAACTATTGGTCAGTTACTATACATAGCTGGATTAGTAACTATTGGTCAGTTAACATACATAGCTGGATTTGGGACTATTGGTCAGTTACTATACATAGCTGGATTTGGGACTATTGGTCAGTTACTATACATAGCTGGATTAGTAACGTCCCAAATCCAGCTATGTATAGTAACTGACCAATAGTTCGAAATCCAGCTATGTATAGTAACTGACCAATAGTTCGAAATCCAACTATTTACAGTAACTGACCAGTAGTCCAAAATCCAGCTATGTATAGTAACTGACCAATAGTTCCAAATCCAGCTATGTATAGTAACTGACCAATATATTGGTCAGTTACTATACATAGCTGGATTTTGGACTATTGATCAGTTATTATACATAGCTGGATTTTGGACTATTGGTTAGTAACTATACATAGCTGGATTTGGAACTATTGGTCAGTTACTATACATAGCTGGATTTGGGACTAGTGGTCAATTAATATAAATAGCTGGATTTGGAACTACACAGAAATGGCGCTGTTTATTTTTAACTTAAGAAATAAACCAATTTCTATGTATATAAAACTTTTATACAGCACAACAGAAACGAAACGTTCCCGCGTGGCTCAGCAGTAACTCTGAGGACTCGAATATCATGATGGGCGCAACACAGAAGCCCATTGTAAAGCTTTGAGCTTAACAACAAATAAATAAATTAAAGAGAACTTAGTTAAAAAATTAAAATATATAATTTCATATACCTGTACCCTGAACTGAGCGCATTCATCTTGCGATATATAAAAACAACAACAACAACATAAGTTTCATGGATATCGTCATATTGTGATAAATATAAGCTTATGGTTACGTAACTTGTGATACGATGGGCGAAATGAAAAAAAAACTCGTATAATAATTGCCTATACAATAAGCTTACTGATATAGTGTAGTTTTTATTTTGTGGTTTATTGTTATGTACTAGTAGCCTTTTTGCAGCTTCTCACAAAATTCTAAATCAAGCAATATATAGATTACGAAAGATGGCGCTCTTTTTTTTATATCAGGAACAGAATAAAAATCAGTAATTAAACCACAATCTATTGAAGGAGCTAGTGTAACCAAAATGACGACAGTTTGAAAATGGTAAGCAAATATATGTTTAGAGAGAAATTCGGGATCAGTGTATGGAGTTTTGCATTTGGTTTTAGGAAACGTTTTAACTAAATAAAACATTTTAAATAAACTATATTTTAAAGCGTGCTTATTACTCACAGTGGGAAGGTTTAATTTAGAACCTGGGAAGCAGGATAACCAGAGTATCATTCTGTCTTACTTTACATGCAGAATAACCAAAGTTATAAGTTTCAATATCCAGTGCACTATTATTTTAATGAATAAATTAAAAAAAAAAGTGAAGTGATAGTCCTAAACAGTTCCAGCAAACTAAAAATGGAGACCCCCTCTCCTAGTTTGATTAAACCAGTAATTAGGAAGGTTGTCACTGGTAGTAAGTAGCTTACGTCATCGTTCTTCCATGACCACATGTTCTGTTCTCGTGTTTCGTTGCCACTTTAATTGGTGTTTCAACAACAGACACCCCACCCGCCTTTTAAAATATTTTGAAAGTTCTTGTTGAACCTAATTACAAAAGATTTTTGTGTGTGTATAAAATATATCGATCCAGTATCTTGCTGTGCGTGAGTACCTGATGAAATGCAGTAATGAACTTTTTAATTCTAAGAATACGTGAAAGACGGACATCAGTCGATAATGTTCATTAAAAGCCTTATTGTTGACTGATACTTGTTCTCGAGATGTCTTTGTACGAAATTTTATGACAACGTTGAAACACAACCAAGTCTATCCTTACGTTTTATGGCTGT